AAGTGTTTCAGTGCGTCAAACCAAAATTTGAACAGATTCCGTCCCACAAAGGGTTTGGATACTCCAGTGAAGGTGAAACCAGGCTTGGCACATCTATTCTGAGTTGCGGTTCTCGTTAGCTGGCATCGGTTGAACAAGGGTCTTGACTGAAGCCAACCGAATGGGGGTAAATACTCAATCCTTCAATGTAAACTGTCCCAATGAGCACATTTGAATACTCTGGGGCCTTCTTGAACCCAGGATGTGCCAGGAAATCATTATTTTTCTTCGGCAACAAAAAGCCATTCTGTCTGATGCCATCAAAATAGGTGTGGGCACGGCTTGTTACGAAATGTCAAGGAATTCATGCCATAACAAGTATATCCAAATTTCCTTGCTACTAGCATTTTGTGGAAAGATCTTGGTGAATTGGCACCAGTTTGAGAAAAGTTAAACATGTCAAATGCCATCACAAGCTATTCTGGCAACAAAGTGGCTTGTGCCCGGTGTGAGTGCGGTTTTTTATTCAAGCTTTGGAAATCATTCTATTGCTACTTACATAATTATATGGAATCACTGAACTCCAAATAATAGTTGGTTTCGTTTTATTTCAGCCACTGGTTGCTGCGGCTTGTGCAAGCCATTTTGTATGATGCCATCAAATGGGCGGGGGTGTGGCTTGCAATGAAAATTAGTAAATTATGGGAAGGTGTGGGTGCAGAAACCTTTGGAAATCACAAATCTGTGCATGCCATGTTATACACACACTCAATGAATAATTTTTTATGCCCTTGCTCATCGTTGCAAACAAAATGGTGTGCGCAAGCCATTTCGTCTGATGCCATCAAACGGGTTCGTGAAAACAAAGTATTGGATGGCGTGGTTGTGGGAACATCTGGAAACCATGAATTGGATACATACACTCAATCAAGTTCATTTGCCATTCTCTCTATTCCCCGATTACCCCGACCACAATAATCCAGAACTGGTGAACATATTCAAAGTATGGAAATCATTAAGAAAGACTTTGAATATTGTAGGGAGTGTGGGCATCTGTGGGCCTGGGCGGGCGTGGGCTTGAGCAGAATGGCTTGTGGCATGTGAAATGGCTTGTTCATCTGCACAGGCAAAGTGGCTTGTGCTGGCTTGTGCAGAAATAATGTTGCTGATCAATCCCTTGAAGTTCAGTAAAAAATTCAACCAACATTCCCCTTGTGTACATGAATGGATGTGTGACATCTTACACCAGCTCACATAATTCTCTACAATGTTAGTGATGTTGGAATCACAGGTTTGACCCTGGCTTGTAGGGCGGATGACTTGGGCGTAACTTGTGCAAATGAGCTCATAATATGCAAGGATTTCCTTCGACGCATCCTGGTAGAGGCTCCCGATACCGGCCTTAGATATGTAGTTGAACATATGTGGCTCCGTGGGCTCCTCAGCAGCTAAATCACTTCATCTGCTCCAACTGCTAAAAATTCTGCAATGCCCGACACATGAGAAGTTGGAAACGCACTTTTGGCCAGGCAGCTGAAGGGTGAAAACCTCGGTGAAACTAAGTGGGATGGTAGGGTATTTTCCACAGGTATGGCCAGTTGCAGTCGAACTTGGCTAAATCAAATGTGACCTCATCCAAATTGTTATTATCTTCCTTCAATAACTCTTCCTCAGACCAATGTTCAGCGCAATTCCGGCCACCAGCAAGAACTCAGGTGTTCTAGCTCAACAAATGTTGGCCTTCAAGCACGATCCGACCTGCCTTTCCACTTCCTTCCAACACATCCCATACCTGCCGTGCTGAATAACACGTTGAAGTGCAAGGGACACAATGAAATTGACGACAAAAAACTGACACCAGAACTCACCAGAGAAAAGCTCAGGAAGGCAAACAAGAGAATAACCAAAAATCCCACCTCGAGGCCAACCACTCGGCACACTCGTGAGGGAAACAGATAGTGTCAACAGGGAGATCTAGTTGTATTCAACCAGAAATGCGTGAAAACTCGTTCAGCGGAGGTGGTGAAGGGCTCACATGCTTGATGATTACAATGTCATGTTTTCAGCCAGCAAAGTTTGTGGCCTGGAGCAGGGACGGATGCAGGAGGATGCCAATAAAATAGAAAGGCAGGGAAGCTTGCTGGAAAAGATACTATTGAATTACTTACAGTGGAATGGTTTGGCGCAAGCCATTCAGCCAAGCCTGTCGGAGAAGTTTGCTATAATAAGTGAGTCGGTAAGGAGATAATGTTCAAAGTGCGAGAAATGGTGTTTTCGGTGTGCAAAGTAGGTAACACAAGGCACAGGGGTGGTCTTGAGATAATGGTGAGGAATAGAAGTTAAGTTGAAGTCACAAACAAAAGATATGGATGAATTACTTACAGTGCGAGGCCTTAGTGTAAGCGAGCACAAGTCACGCCACGCCACAAGCCACGCCGTCCACGCCCGTGATGCCAAATTCAAACTCCGCTAAGCGGCGCAAGCCATTTAACCAAGCCACTCAGGTAACTCTGAGGATGGCAGTCCTGACATCATCCAAGATAGTCGTGTAGCCATCCTTTGAATCATCGCATATTATGATAGCTTTGGAGAAAATGTGTCAATTGCATAGTTCAGGTAACCAAGGCGAAACGAATGTCTGTCCTGAGCCTATGAAGTTGAAATGGAGATGACTCGACTCAGACGACAACAGCTTCCCGGTTTTTATTTTTCTTGGTTGACAGCATTAAATGGTGTGCTGTAAACGGAGCAGCTATCAAGCCGCGTGGCTCGATGAAAGGCCGTGTGTATCGCGCACCGAGGTTGGCCATCCGCGGTTCGCGTCAACCTCGCGATCACACGTGATCGTGATTCGGGCTCCGTGTTCGGGTGCGTCGACTCCCTCTTTCTGCTCACATCGGGCTTCTGACTCCAACCTGGAGTCGCTGCGGCCAGCACAACATTGACCACGCCGATCGACCCTTGGTACCTACTTCTGGACCGCGTCTGGTTTCCCTTCAGTGGAAGAATCAGTGTGCACTTGCAACTCATTGACTCTGCATTACTTGTCTAGGCGCTCTTCGTTTGCTCGGCGGGAGCCCGCTACCAAGCTTGGCGGTCGTACCTGTGGCGCGAAGCCCACGATTCGGGGTCTCGGTAACCTCGCCCTTGCAACTCGGCCTCGACCTGAGGGCGCAAGCTCCAAGTGCGCAGCGTCCCATCCGAGTCGGGGCCCAAGGGGGATCCCGTCTAGCTGCCCTATCTAATCACTCTATCGGGGTGAGGCGAGCCGAGGGAGGCACATCGATCCCATCCCCATCCCCGTACGGTACGGCGATTTGATGCGCTCCAACACGATGACCGGCGCCGCCGCGATGCGATGGAGCGCAATGCGGCGCAATGGGGCGCGATGGGATTAGACGTTTGAGGAAATGAAGTTGACGCTGGAACGAGAGGGGCCACATTACTGTATTACTGACCGAGTGGAGACCGCGCTCCGGGGAATGATACGGCGATTGCGATGCGGACGGGGACAGTAGGGGTTTGAGCCAGGCCAGCCGGTTGCTCTGCGCTGTCAGGAGCAGGAAGCCGATCCTCTCCTCCGGTATCACTCCCCGCCCGCCGCCGCCTGCCACGCCACGCCCCTCCCCTCCTCCTCCGCATGGCTTGTCTTGTGCGCCCATCCACCCCCGCGTCCCCGTCCCCGCCTCTGGGCGACTCTCCACCGCGGCGCACCCGTCCTCCGCTGCACAAACCATCTTCAGGGCGCTCCACCAGTCGACTCTCGACTCTCCCCTTCGCACGCGCGCTCACGCCTACCTCCGCCGCTCACGCCTACCTCCGCCGCACCATCTCCACCTCCACCCCCGCCCGAACGGGATACATCAGCGCAGCATAGTATCGGGCACCTCCCCACCGCTCCCCCCTTCCCCGTGCCTGCCCTACCTGCGACACGTCGACTCTCCCGCACGCCGCACGCCGCCCCGCCTGCCCCCAACTTGATATAAAGACAAGAAGCGCGTCGTGCACGGCCACGGCCACCCCACCCCACCCCACGCCGCTGCCGACCCAGAAGCCAGGAGCGGCACCATGTCGCGCCGCATCGAATCACATCGCGCCGCACCGAATCGCATCGCCTGCACGCCCCTGCGCCGACACCGACACAGCCCGTATTCGCGTCCCGCCAGTGCTCATCGCGCGTCGCACCAATACAATGTCATTCGCACGCGTCCGCGCCCTGCTCATCGCACGCCGCACCAATATCACTCGCCCGCGGCCCCGTCCCCGTGCGGTGCCGAGGCGCATCGTGCGGCGGATCGATATCGATGCGCGTCTCGGTGGCCTTGTGGTGAGATAGCCGGGCAGAGCGAGTGCGGAAAAGAAAGATCGAAGCAGGGCGAGATGTACAGCGCCGAGCGGGAGTCGGCTTGAGGATGGGATCACCGGAAGACGGAAGACGGCGCAGCGGGGCCGAGCACGAGAACGCGGTGGACACGAGAGAAGGTGGAAGGGAGCAGCAGGCGAGGAAAGGGACGGCTGGCATATGCGATGGACGCGGACGCGAGGGGACGGGCGGGAGGTGGCTTGCTTGGGTGGGTGAAGCCGGCCTGAGTGCGCTGACAGCTGAGCCTCGTCCGGCCCTTCGACAGACAGCACCCCCGCCTCGCCACTCTGTTCTACTCCTACGGGCAAACCCCGCCTTGATCAACTCCTCCAGCCTGCTCTAGGACCCGTCCTCATCCTGGCGCGCCGCCCGCCACCAAAGACGATGGCGTTGCACGCCAGAGAAGCACGCGGCATGTACCCTACTTACAAGTAAGCTCCATCATCTCAGCGCAGCGGCTGTGAGCTTTGGCACGACTTGGGGTTTGTGGGACGCTAGCTAGAGGCCTGACTCGAGCGAGAAGTGAATCTTCGACGACCAAACAAGACACTTCAGGTGGGCGATCTTACGGCATGTCTGTGAGTTACGAGCCTCATGCTCCACCGAATTCAATCCAGTAAAGCATGACTAAAGGAACGAGTATGACCACTCTCGACATGGCCCTATGGTCCAGAGGTACGATACTTGCTTTGGGTTCATCTGAACAACTGCAAGTGACCTGGGTTCGATTCCCGGTGGGGCCCTTCTTTTTCTTGGGAGGTTTTTGACCACCCGACTCGTGCGTAGTGTTATGTTGCCTTCCGTTTGTTCTTTTTGGACAAATTCACGCGATCTAATTCCTCTGAACACATACTATAGTATCGGCACTCGTGGTTTTTTGGTCGTCTGGGTTCTGCGACGGGGAACTGGGTACCCCAAACTCGGCTCGGGACGATGATGTATATATAAAATTCCCTGTATTACATCGGGATACTCCCTCAAACCGGCGTTCCTGAGTGGGTACTTGCCTACCGCCGCACGATCGGTCGGCTCGATCTCATCGGTTGGCTCGGACCTGGTTACCACGCCCACAGACGCCGACTTACCCGAACGAGGTATAGCGTCCTTCAACAGAAGCTACGGCAAATCCCAGTCATTCGATCCCCGTCATTATTGACAACCGAGTACCACTCCACCTCTCCGTAATATTTACAATATTGACCACTGTTCAACGATAACTGGTGGCGCCGGGGGGAAAAATCGGCAGAGTTCCGGTGTTCAGGTGAGTCTCTCGCGGAAAGGCATTACATCGATCCGTCTTTATAATAAACTTCCCATCTAGTGTCGAGGGCACGACATGATTTATTCAACCCCACTTGCTTTTTTTTCGATTAGCCGGTCCCACGTCATATCAATCGAGACTGTTTTTTTACAGGGAAGCTCAAGTTGGCGGTGAGATGAAAGATCAGCTCATAAACTTGAGAAAACTTGGCAGGCCGTAAGAGTTTGACACCAGAAACAATCCGAGCTACTACTATCTGCTTGTATATCTGGTCGGTCTCTGCCGTGAAGAATCAGATACTTGGCGGGTGGCTCAGGGTTGACTTTATGTACAGCGACTTATTTCGTGAATGGAGCGACTCCCTGCGGTGCGGGTGAGTTCATTCAACCCGTCATGGACTTCTCTGTCCGTGAGTTAAGTTATGCATTGCCGTATTGATTCCATCGGCCATCCCAGAAGTAGGGTGGAGTCTCATCTACTACATGGTACCAGCAGAAAGTCGACGCGACTGGATGAGATTGGACATGGACATTCAGGGACAGGTCAAGTCCCTGAGATGAGGTGAGCACCAGCCTAGATTTAGAAGTGGACCCTGATTGCAAGATAATTACGGCAGGGATACCTGAAACCAAGAAGAGACAGGCGAAACAAAGTATCAATAGGGGGACTGACTGGGCAATTCACCCTGCCGGCACTGTTGCAATATGCTGTAACCTTCGATCCCGATGTATAACAAGACGAGAAATGCCATCCGCAGCTTGCGTATTTATCTTTCTTCATCCACCACAATGTTGGTCTCACTACGCGCCAGGTTCGAGTCCCTAGACCCACAAACCTAGTATGTGGCCATCAACGAAGTGGACAGGTTATTGATGAACCCTCCTATCAGCCCGCGACTCATCTTGGGACTATTAGTCCCGGGGCTCGTGCTGACCACAGCCCTACTTGCTCTCTTCGGATACGCCGCATGGAACATAGTGTCGCGACGATACCTAGACCGGGTGAGTTTCCGCCTGCTCACATACGCTCTGGTCGTGCAGTGCGTGAATCTTCCGCATCGCGATCAATTATACACAACTCACCATGCTAGTCTCATCTTTGGTGTTTCATTTGCCATGAACGCCCTTGGGGGGTACTCGGACTGGCGATGTTCTTTCCTAGCTTTTACCACCAATGTACGTCTTTTCGCCCATGTACATTTCGGCAATTCAAGTTTGTTCGCCAACAGTTAAGCCTTATCTTCTCGTCGTGCATCTTCTTCTGCATGGCGCTCAACGTCCCGTGAGCCCATCGACGCTCAATAAATTTAGCTCTGAAACATTGTTAGACTGGTGGTCGTGTACAAGATCAGCGGCCAAGCGATGGAAAAATACTACGTTGCCGGGACCACTCTCATTTGCCTCATTTGCAACGTCCCACCATACGCCTCCGGCAATCTCGGGCATGTTTTAATTCCCACCAAAGTATGCGTATAAGTTCTCACCTTCGTTTCATGCAGATTTGACCCGGTCGGTCAGACCTGTTGGTACAACAACGCGGACCCGGAGGCTCGCTTTCGCTGGATCGTGGGCACACAGACCTCCTGGACGATCATAATGACGGTGGGGGAAATCGTCGCTTTCCTAATCATTATCGGGTACCTCGTTACGCATGAGGTGAGACTTTCATTACCCGCATGCTATGTATGTATGCCGACCACACAACTACAGTTCCACCTGCTACGTCACTCTACAACCACTGAGGCCACCTACTCCTCCGAGGGGGCCGGCTCAACAATCCTGAAGTTCCGAAATATCATCCTGCGCATCGGTGGGCCAACCAAAAGAACAAATTAAAAGGAATTAAAAGGGCCAAGAAATGCGTTCACAGGCCTTTACCCACTCGTGTCGTGTCTACTTAACGTCACTCTTAATGGGATAGACTTGTACGCGTCCCGCAAGTACAAAATGGAGGCCTTCGAATTGACGAAACTCGTATGTCTGCCCTTCCGTTTAACCTCAAACAAACCTCAGATCCACCATTTATATCGTCGATACGTGCAGGACAGTGAATTAATGCTTGTTGGTATGTACGCTTTAATGAGCTTTGGCATTACATTGACCCACTGCCAACTTCGCACAGGCATGGCTAGCTGTGCAGGACGCCCGCTTATCTATGGCCTGCTTGCGGCCACCGATCCAGTGCGTCCCTTTCTGTCCTTCTCACTTCCTCCTTTCCCCACTTCTATATTGACTTCTATTTCGTTTACTGTGCCCCGCTATCGTCTTTACTTGCTTGCGCAATCCCACACCGCCGCTCACTGATATCACTTCCATCATCATCCAGTCATTCATCCGCGCGTTATACGCCTTGCGGCACCCCGACGCTGAGACAGAAACGCAGTTTTGCCGCCCCAGCGGTTGCCTTTCCACCATTGTTGAAATACCGCCACATGTGATCTCGTTCGACGACGCTGAAACTCTCGATAACGACCATGCACGACTGGAATGCATGCGAGGGCGTGAGAGCTCCATCACACCGCCTCACGACTTGGAGGGGGGCAAGAAGTGGCGGTCTTACTTTAGATACGGTACGAGTGGGGCGACCACGAGTTTATCGGTTGACGTCGTGCCATACCATATTTAATCTGACTCGCATACCTACCTCCCTACCGAAACCGAGCTTAAGTAATATCTCTCCCGCTGTAATCTGACGTCATAGTGACACGCCTGCCGACCGTCCAAGCGCGAGCTAAAACCCAACAGGTGAGCTCTCGCTGAAGGATGGAAGGAGGAGTAAAAATATGCAAGTGTTTCAGCTTGCTAAGGAACCGTAAAAAGGCACCCAGCGGCTGACTGGGACGAAGTGCGTAGGCGAAGCGTGGGCAGGGATCGGGAGCGAAAGCGACAGCGACAGCAGAGGCGAGAGTGCGAGTGAGAGCGACTTAAACTGCACAAACTGGGGCAAGGTAAAAGTGATTTTTCTTGAGAAATAAAGCGAAGTCTTTTATACACAAGAGATGACACCGGGGGCAAAGAGCGACGCATGTGGACCAGTAGTGCGTTACACGCATGTGGACCACATGTGTGCGTGACACTTGTCAAAGGTCTTTGTTACATGTATCCTGTTAGTTTACCAAATGCTGCTTAAAATGTAATTAGTTACCGCAAATGTAAGATATAGTTTTACAACAGTTATGAATAAATTTCAGCCTTTGGTTGGGGTTTATGTAGGATATGCGAAGGTTTTGTTTTCGCGAGCCGCAACTCGGCCGCAGATCCGGTCGCGGCTTCGTGAAGTAACGGAACAACGCGGTCACGGCAAAGTCGCGCCCATGTGACAAGGCAGAGCCACCCCAGAGCTGCGCTCGCGAAGCCGCCAACTGCAATGAATTCGAAGTATTCGCAGTGGCAAGTTCCACATACGCATTCGTCGACGGCGCGCTCGCCGCCATCGCAGAATTGCTCGAGTTGGGTGAGGCATTCTGAAGGTCCCCAGTTGAGCATGAGACGAGTGAAGAAGAAAAAAAAAAAACGACAACGTCCGGACAAGAACGGCGCATGGACGTGGTCGTAGCCCGACGCAGACGGCATGCAGGTGGGCTCTGGTGCCGACAAAGGCAACATACGGGGGCTCCGGTGCCGACAAAGGCTGGGGTTGCACACCGACAAAGCCACGATCGCACGCTGACAATAACACCACGCATAAATCACCGCATCAGGCTACCCTATGGACAAAGCCACGGTCCCGTTCCCAAGTCCGGACAAAGATGGTGCACGGATGCAGTCATAGCCCGACGCAGATGGTGGGCAGGTGGGCTTCTGGACCGACAAAGATGATGTGCGGGTGGGCTCTGGTACCGACAAATGCGACGTACAAGTAGGGTCCAGTGCCGAAAACGGTGAGGCATGTGTGGGGTTGCACATTGACAAAGACGTGATTGCATGCCAACAAAGACACCACACATAAAGCGAGACAAGGTCCCAGCTAAAGGCACCATGCAGGACATCGAATAGGCGTGGGGCAGGCCACTGCGTGACGTCTGCAGTGCGTGCGATTGGCACGCAACGGGCCGCTGCGTGATGCCCGCAGTGCGAGTGCGCAGGGGTGAGCGCAGCTCTGGCGTGTCTCTGCCTTGTCACATGGGCGCGACTGTGCCGCGACTGCGTTGTTCCGTTACTTCACGAAGCCGCGACCGGATCTGCGGCCGAGTTGCGGCTCGTGAAAACAAAACCTTCGTATATCCTACATAAACCCCAACCAAAGTCTGAAATTTATTTGTAACTGTTGTAAAACTATATCTTATATTTGCGGTAACTAACCACATTTTGGGCAGTGTTTGGCGGGCTAATAGGATACATGTAACAAAGACCTTTGACAAGTGTCACGCACACATGTGGACTACATGCGTGTAACGCACTACCAATCCACATGCGTCGCTCTTTGCCCCCGGTGTGAGTGAATGGAGTAAGATGAATCGAAATGAGCCTCAGCAGGGACAAG